GCTTCAATATAACTAGAATGGAGGGATACTAGGGATCAATGTAATTAAATGGTTAGCAGAAAAATCAAATTGACAGTGTTGACCATTTTAACACACCAGCCCCAATATTGCAGAGAATTAGGAGTTTTAACCCCCATCTTTGTTAGTTTGATTTCTGGCATCCTTACATCCTAAATTACTGCATAATACTGATATTTTTTAATTAAAGCGAATTAAAGTTTCATTTTGTAAAGACATGCATTGAGATACTTTGATATACCCCCAGGCTGTTGCAAATCTCATCTATTGGGAATCACTGTGACATATGGTTAACTAGAAGATTGTTTCTTTGGGAGTATACACTCCTGTGCTTTAATTGTTATAAAGAGAGTGCTTCCCAGCTTCACCACCAAAGACCCCTGCAATTATTTGCCTTTATGAACTCCAGATTATAAATAATTTTGACAATTAAACTGTATTTATTAGGTAATAGTTTATCTCTTAAACTTTATTAAGCAAAAAAATACATATAACTGCTGCTGCTTAGAGGTTTTGATCAGCACCTGATATCCAACGTAATCACAAGTTAATATAACTAGCTAAAAAGAAATATATGTGATATTTAGATTAGCTGTATCTTAGGGAAATGTCAAATTTCTGTTATGAATTTTGAAAACTTAAATATCTTGAAAACTCCCAGATACTTAAAGAGCTTCTTAGTAATCCACATACTACAGTTTGGGAACTTAATGAATCTATTAGGGAACAGTCAATCAAATAATAATAGTTACCATTATTGCTAATATTTATTGAGCAATTACTGTATGTCAAGACTATACATGTTTTAAACACTGTATACATTTAATCCTCCTTTAATCCTGAGCCATAGAAAGATTAAATTACTTACCCAGGGTAATATCACTAGGAACTGGTAGGATTTGAACCGGGGGGGGGGGGGGTTTGAGTGAATGAGAGTGAGGACTACTGTTCTCAGCCCACTATAGGCAATGAGAATGCTTTGATGAACCTTGAAGGAGATCGTGATGTTTATACCAGTTGCATCTTAAATTGTTGGAAAATGGAAAGGTATCAAAACTGGGGTATAGAGAAATGTTAGGGGTACAGAGAAACCTTAAGATGGAGCTGGGGATAAGGCACTAAATTTTACTCTGCAGGTTAGTGCCTGAGTTTGTGCATTTGAGTTGAGGGTTCTACAAAGGCTGGAAGTTGGGCAAACCAATAATTTAATGGTCAGAGCAATGAATTCTGACCGCCTAACAACATATTTGGTTTGGAGGGGTAGTAAGTGGGGTGGGGAGGATATCACCATTTTAAGACAGGGAACAAGGGATGAAGGGAAAGGAAAATGGCTCCCACTAGAAAATTTCATATATGCAGTAAGGTGGGGGAAAGGGAAGTAAGAAGGAAAGCTCATTTTTAGTTAATAACAGATGCTCTAGAGTTTCAGGGTCTTTAAACCTCTGTGTATTAGGAATTTGTGGCAATTCTATACCACTGAATGCCATAAAATCCAGGATATTGAGATTCCAGAGTTAGGACTCTAGCAATTTTCAGACAATGAAATGCCGAGGGGGATAAGGGACAAAAACCCCAAGGATTTAAAAGGTAAAGCTCCAGAGATGTTAAACACTAATCCCCCTTGCACTCCAAGTCAGTCACAATTTTAACCCCTAGGACAGTGGAAATGGGCTTGGGGAATTAGGGAGATGGGACTGGTGTATAAAGGGAAGGCCACCTGGGCAGGCATTTGGGGCCTTCCTCCCTAGCTTTAGCTGCAGAAGCTCCCATTGTATTTGTTTTATATACTGAGGATTTCTACATACAGTTTCATTTGATAAAGGTGTTCCAAGCTTATAAGAAAAAGGAAGAAGGCAAAACCACTTCCCTAGGGGGAAAAACAGGATAGGGAACCTCTGAAATTTCAATAGGTCATCCTCAGCATCTGTCCTTTTTGAATACAGAGCCAGACACTAGCAAGGGTGCTTTGGCTGGGACATTGGGAGGGGCCAAGTAACAGTTCTGTAAATCAGTCATACCCTATGTGAAGCCAGTAACAACAGCAACACCAACAAATGCTAGTAGCAGGAGCAGTTATCTCACTAAGCATCAGCTCTGATCTGAGCACGGGGCTAAATGTTTACATAGATTGTACCATTTGATTCTCTGCAGTTCTATGAGATAGGCGCTATTATTATTTTATTTTGCCGATCCTGTCACTCTTGTGCAACTGATGGAATTGTGCAAGTGGCCTAAATATATAGGAATAAACCGAATAAAGGCATTTTAAGTAGTTGCTCATGGCAATACACACAATGTCAAGGTAATCTATTCCTTTGAACTCAGGACACACTGGTCCCTGAAGTCAGGAATGTTTGATAGCTTATTCCAAGAAGAAAGTGCTTTACGTACATGTAAGTAGAAGAAGAAATATTTTCTCCACAGAAAGGAAAGGTCTAACTGCAGTTCCACGTTTGCTTGAAAAAATTTTTAACAATTTGTTCATTCAACAAATATTTATTAGGCTCCAGCTATGTGCTCTGAACCCAGAATCTTAAACATATAAAATTGAGAGAATGATTCATATGATATAAAACTCAAGCCTAAGAAATTTCTAGAATTACCAAATCCTGGTTGTGGGGAAAATAGGATAATTTAGGCTCCCACAACTCAGGTCTTGTTGGGGGTCAAGCAGCACATTCTTAATTCTTTGTAAAGAAATTGTGTGTGGGTGGAGTTAGTGTGCATGTGCACCAATGTATCTTTTTAGTTTTGTTGCTGTTGTATGTTAAGCAGGCTGGCCGGCAGGGAGCTCACGACTAAAAATAGAACATGATTATTCTGCTGGCAGCTACTCAGTTTCAGTTTGTCTTTGGACTTTGCCATAGCAGTTGAGTTTCAGAGTTTCTCTGTGGACTGCCTAGCTCCTAGACATGTGTGTGCTGAATAAAGACTATTCCTTCTTCAACCAAGGCTCTGAGGACCTTTTTGCCAGTTACCTAGCTCATAAACCTGCATGTGAAGGGTTTGTGAATGGGATCAAGGGGTCTGTGAGCTCCAGACCCCAGCTCTAGCTCTACACAGGTTTAGGTGGCACCTATTAAGTGTGATTTTTCAGCCTAGTTCCAATAGATGTTTAAAGACTTAAGCATTATGAGGAGGGCAGTAAAGGCATAGATCGTAGATGATAGGATTAAAGAACCTTAGAAATAAAGCAGTCTATTTCCTGTACTTTACATGTAAGGGAGTCAGACGGACTCAGATTATAAACTGTATAACTTTGGGCAGGTTACTTAACCTCTCTGAGCCTCACATTCCTTACCTATAACATGGGAATAATAGCACCTCCCTTACTGAAATATGGTAAGGATCACAAAAGATAAATTACATAAAGTTCTTGGTGAAGTATCTGACACACACGACCTGGTCAATGCATGTTTACTATTATCGTGATCACTATTTTCCATGTGAGGGGACTAACTCAAAGAGGGTAAGTGACTAGCTCAATGTCACACAGCTTGGTGATGTTAGGGCGAATATTAAAACTCAGATCTCTACTAATAGTCAAATATTCCTTATACTACACTATTCAGTTTATTCCCTGGGAGCAGGTAATATAAATTTCCTAGGCCAGTGAGAAATATTTTGGCTTATCCAGGGAGAAGAATTACAAAGAAATGCCTGACATAAGAAAAGAATTCCTGAAATCATAAAACAAAACATCAAGGAATAAATAGAGAGCAAAGGAGAAACAACAAATACCAGAAAGTTTAGATAGCAATGTTGGAGCATGACAATGCCCAGTAAATCACAGGACTGATCTCTATTCTAATTCCTTTATTCACCACAAACAAAACTGACTATGTTTTTATTCTTTTTCTTGGGGTTGGAGGTGGGAGGTAGTTCAAAATGCGTGTGTGATTCACAGACAGTTACTGTACTATACAATTCAGCTGTACTATACAATTTCTATTTGCAATACAAGGGAACCCTGTAATTGAAGTTAGAATGGAAATATGAGCACTACCAAGACTAGAGGAATGATACATTTTTAAAAGGATATTGGGCTGGAGTGACACTTCACAGTAGAAGTTGTTCAAAAATTCAGCAAAAATTAAAAACAGTGGCTCAGAAGTAAAGCCACATTGTTATTGCTCTGTTTAGTTTCAGAGTACAGCACTGAGGGTGATTGGTTTGTTAGATGAAGATATTCTTACAAATTAGAAATATATGAAAAGAACCACTCTGTCTCTATGCCAAAAGTGAAGGTTAATTGACAGTTGCCTAAGCAAACGATAATATATTCTTTCCTAAACTATACTTCAATTTATTTAATCAGAGACCTGCAATGTTGGTTGTTGCAAGATCCAGGGGTTTCCTAAAAGGAGCAAAGCCATTTTACTCAATTTATTACTGCATAGTACATGCATGACACACAAACTGATGCCAGAAAGTCTGACTAGAGTTCCGATCCCACCACAAGGGATACATTGTGATTGTTTCAGGTACAATTACTACATAAAAGGATTGTTCCCGTATTGTGTACTTAAAAATTTAATAGGATAGATCTCAAGTTGAGTGTTCTTACCACACTAATAATTTTTAAAAAGGCTTTCCTTTTTTACTTTTTCCTTTAGAGTTTGCTAATTTTCCTCTTCTGAAAATAATTACATTTTATTTTATTTTATTTTATTTTATTTTTTTTGCCTTGTCTTTTTTCGTGACCGGCAACGGATCGCAACCCTCAGTGTCGCGCCCATACCGGACCGGGACCGGCAACGGGATCGCAACCCTCGGTGTTGCGCCCGCACCTCACTCAGCCAGTGAGCTGCCGGTCTGTATGTGGGATCCGAACCCTTGGCAGGAGCGTCGCCACGCTCCCAAGCGGCGCGCTGTAGCAGTGCGCCACCGGGCCGGCCCTAAAATAATTACATTTTAATTCAAATGAAGTATATTGGTAACACTTTGGTTGCTTATTCATTCGATAATTTTCACCTTCACAGGGCATCAGGTACTGTTTATACAGCGCTAGACATTGCAACAGGACAAGAGGTAAGTGCTAACATTCAATACTGATTTTTATTTTTCTTTATTCATATTTATTATATTTCCTTTTTGATGACATATGCCTGAAAAAATAGGTAGCACTGGATTGAGATGAGTATCTCATTAGTATTCAAGACATCTGTCATGAATGGTTTACTCATGATTGCCCAAAGAAAAAGGGCATGGGTTTGTGGCACAGAGAAAGCTTAGTAGATAAAGAATTTGTATGCCTCACTCTGTCCCCAAAATATGGATGTTTGTGTTTATGGTAACAACTGTAATTCATTCTTGTATTTTAATTGTCATTCAGGTTGCCATAAAGCAGATGAACCTTCAACAGCAACCCAAAAAAGAATTAATTATTAATGAAATTCTGGTCATGAGGGAAAATAAGAACCCCAATATTGTTAATTATTTAGATAGGTAAGTGTTTTCTCTCATTATGTACTTGTTTTCTTTATGGGATGTCATTGTCTTGGCAAATCATTTTATTTGTGATTTATTCATTTAACAGTTATTCTACAAATATTTCTCAAATGCTACAAAGTAGTAGAGTATTAGATCTATTGCTAAACTTGCACCCGCTTATCTTTATCCATATATCAAAACCTTGAAGAAACACTTTATGGTCTTGGTTCTAAACATAAGCAGTTTGTGTAATTTCCTTTTGAGGATAGTGGATCCATGTTGGCAGGAAATAGACTATCGCATATAGGAGAGAGCAGTGGTGTTTTAAACATTTCATCAAGTGTTTCTTTGGTGCTGGGACAGTCCCTGGGAATCTAAGTGAAGAAGGCTGACTACAATGGCTCTTTTTTAATGGGTGCTTTGTGATTAACTGACAGTGAGGTCTAGGGAATTGAGACTTTAATCTCAAACCTTTTTCCTAAACCAAGTAATTAATGTCTCTTTCATCAGCGGTATTAACAGTGTGTTATAAATAACACACTGTTAATGGATTTAAAGAGAGCGCTAACTCTTCACTTGTGGTTAACGTCTGTCTCATTCAATTTCAGTAAGTGTTTGTTTAGCACCATTGTGCTGTGTTCTGGGGGGAGGATACAAAGGAAGTCCTCAATGAGCTTAAGATCTTGCTTTCTGTGTATGAGGCAAGGTAGACCAGTGATACAGAAGAAGGAAAAAAGGGGTGAGAAAAAGGAGGGTTAAATTTTATAGTCTTGATCAAGTTTCATAAAGTGTTGTTTATGGACCACTTGCAGCAGAATGACCTGGAGTCACTGTGCATTTGTAATTATGTAAAAATTGCATTTGTATTTGTAAAAAAAAAAAAAAAATGCAGATTTTTAGGCTGACTTACATAACTAATAACATAGGGCCTGTGAATTTTTAACAGCCTTCCCAGGTCAATATAATGCACATTGCAGTTTGAGCGCCATTGGATAGAAAATTTTACTTCATATTGATGTGGGTCTTAGGGCAGAGTGAAATCACTGTATTCCCTATAATTTCTCTCTCTTGCTGAACAGGGGTCCAAAATGCCTTCATATGGTCTCAGGTGATTTGAATAACCTCATGCTCTCTCTGCCTGAATTGTAGAGTTCTGGTGACCTTCCTCCCCATATTTGATCATTTGGGGTATGTTTCTCAATAACTACTTGAAGATAACGGGCATGGCACAACTAGCAATTGACTTCTATCAGAATTGAGATCTGGAAATCTTAGAGTCCCCACTTCCTTAGTTTCAAGTCAAAGTCTTTTTCTTTTCTTGTTACAGCTACTTAGTGGGTGATGAACTATGGGTGGTTATGGAATACTTGGCTGGTGGCTCTTTGACTGATGTGGTCACGGAGACCTGTATGGATGAAGGACAGATAGCAGCTGTCTGCAGAGAGGTAAGAAAATGGAGCATTTCTAGCTGACAAGAACACCAAAATTGGCAGCTCTTCATTCTTGATTATTCAGAACGTTTATAACATCAAAGAAACAACAGCACAACTTTTCTACTGAAAAACAAAATGGAGAGCCTAACCTCAATTTAAATCCTAACCTAATAACGTTCCCATGCACCACCCTCCCCAGCCCCTTGTTTATTTAAGTTGCATTTCTATGTATCTGTCAAGTTCTGTTACACCATTTGCAAGGTGCTATATCTAAGCGTCACATGCAGTCGTCTCAGTGAACATGGAAAACAGGGATGTTGGCATAGAACTTCTTTCTGATTTGGGGTAATTTTTACATGACAGTTGTTTTGTCTTGCATAGTGCAATGAGGGCCATGTAAAGTACAGATAATTTTACATTCCCATTATTTTCTAGAAGGCAGTTTAAACAAGGTCCTCCCCCAGCCCAGAAAGTAGTTGCTTTCACAGTATAATCTGAATATCCCTCATAGCCCACCAGTGGGCCTGAGGGTCTGTCTCTTTTCCAGTAACAGTGTTCTACCCCTAGCTTCAAACTAAATTAAGTATATTTTATTATATTTGTTTTGTTCAATATTAAAAACACACACACAGTCTTCATTGGAGTCTCATCTTGGGCATTATCACCTTATCCCATTGTGGTAAGGAACTCTGACTCACTGAAACTTGAAAACCAGTGGTAGGGAAACAAAACTCAGTGATATCAGTTGATCTTTGCTTATTTTTGACGTTAAACTGTTCACTTAAATTTCCTTCTTTCTTGCTCTCCTCTCTTTCCCATTACCCCTACCCCAAACTTGCATACATATCCGCCAAACACATGTTTTCTATTCAAATAAATTAAACTTACAGTCATTCAGGGGAATATTCTACCCTGAGCCTGTGGTTTCCATCTTTTATTTTTATTATGAATATTCATGAGATACAAAGCTAATTGTCCCCCCTCCTTCCTATGATGTGAGGGCCAGATTCATACTGGGGACATACCCATTACCAGAAATTACTTTTGTACCCTTTGTCCCCTTCCAATTATCCCCCAGCCTCCCTTCCCTTCCCCCTCTCCCCTCCACTCCTATTTGTAGCCCCCCCCCCCCCCC